GGGGGGGGGGGGGGGGCGGGTGGTTTCAGGTCCATCACTCCAGCAGCCGGGAGCCACAGAGAGGATCCTTTCGACTCGGAGCAAAAGTCTTTTCACAAGTCGCGGAGAGGTCCGGGAGGAGGCGAACAGATACTGCGATGGCATCAAGGCGCAGACCTTATAAAACACGCAGAGTGTGTGTGAGGTGTTGTCTGGCAGTCTGTGGCAGTTCTCAGAACCTCGGAGGCTCGTCCGGACTGTCTCCACCTTACTTTTGGGGAGCGGCTGTCACACGCTTTGTGATTCTGCCGAAGTCAAGTGTAAGATGGGCACCTTTCACAGCGCCGGCGCAACTTCCTAGCCACCATCACCAGTGGAAGTGCAGTGTATCGGCTGCTTTTGCGGCTCTGCGAGGTGGGTAGGACACAGACACAGCTCAGCAACCTAAGCGAACTTGATGCAAAAGGAGGGCTCTGGAAATTGGGGGGCGTGGGGGGGGGGCGGGGCAGGCAAGGGCCACCAGAGCGGGTACCCTCATTTTGGGGAAATGCCCACTTCAGCTTCGCATCTTCAGCATGCATCTCTGAGCATCATGGCGGTACCCATATGAATCAGGGTTTATGTTATTGTTATTGGTGAGTGTATATCAGGTTCCCTTTTAATATTGGCGAGTGGATATATTTGGTGTCCGTTTGGGGGTACAAGAAATATAAACCCTACTTCATATGCACCATCGTTAGGGATGCAGTTGAGGCGACCCTCCTGCCGTCCTGTAGGTCCGCAGAAAGTTTCTTGTCAAGCTAATGCTTTTGGGGATGTATGCCCCTGCAAAGCGTCAGCGCATGAGCCCTTTTTTGCTAAGGCTGGATCCTGTGCTGGGAACGGTTTGCGCAGACCGAAGTATTGGAGGCATCTGGGTTTGGTGCTCTCTGTCTGTCGTCTGAGCGGTGAAGATGAGCCGCGAAGAGAGGTGAAGTTCTGGTGCCTCCAAGTTGGAAGCCTAGCCTGATTAATATTATATTTTGAAACAATATGGTTCAATTATTATCATTCTAAGATATATATATATATGTGTATATATATATAATATTTTATGATATGCAAGAGGCCATGGTTGCCTCCATGCCACAGCTTTTGCAGTCAGCAGCGCTGGAACGTCGAGTCAGGTCATCCTGCATGTGCTCTCGCTGCAGTCCAAGTGAGTCTCCAGCCTCTCTTTGTGTTTTCTTTTTCCGTCTCATTGTTCTTCTCCTGCTCCTCCTCTCTCTTTCCCTCTCTCTCTCTCTCTCTCTCTCTCTCGCTCTCTCGCCTTGGGGGCAGAGGTCGCTGCCGCCGGCGGCCAGAGTAGAGCTTCGAGGCAAAGTGTCCCTCGGCTTGGAGCCTTCCTGCAGACCCCTTTCTCATTTGGTCCCTTCAAAGCAAGCAAGCGGGTTCCTTTAAGTCGTTTAGGGCTGTTTTCTGCTTTTGGCCCAGGCTTTCTTGGCTGAGGGAGGTGGCAGGGAAGAAGCAGGAGGCCTCGCGGAAACCGTCAACACCGTCCTGTAGCTGCCGCGCTTTTCGCGCGAAGTGGCATTCAGGAGGTGGTGGTCAAGAACAAAGTTGCACTTGTGTATGTGCAGAACTCGGCAAAGTCTGCTGCTTCCTCTGCCCAGCTTGCCTGAGCACTCCGGTGAGCTTGACAGGCAGGCCTCATCAAGTTCGATTACCCTGCACAGTGGCCGTCTGCTTGGCAGGAGCACGCAGACCTCGGACGTTCATTGACATATCCGGATGCAGATTTGGGTTTGGCCTAAATTATGAGGAACGTTTGGGTACGGTAAGTTTATTGGGAAGATGCCTCATATAGAGGCTTCCAAGAAGTCCGCACGTCGCCATCCTGATTGCGCAGACACGCGCCCCAACCAGCTGTGCACCCGGAAGATTGTGCACGTTCCATCGCGCAGTCACCAACTCTAAAAACTGCTGAAAGCGAGCTTGGATTCTCTGACCAAGACGGTTTCTGCGCACGCAGGTGTGCTACTACACAACTGAAAGGAAGCCCTACAGACCTCCACCACTCAGCTCACACCGACAGTCTGACTTTGTCGGTAGGACTTGATTGGTCTTATGGACTTAGGGCAGCGTGCTCGGTGTCGCATCACTTGACGTCTCACCTGACAAGACTCCCACTTGTTGCTGAAGGCTTCCGCTCGTAGACTTCTTCTTGCGTGCAAGAGTCCCAGACCATTGGATATTCGGCATCACATTGCGGAGAGAGAGACATGTCTCCGGAGGTGCTAGCCATCTTTGACCAGGAGGTTGTCAACGACGAAGTCGCCCGAAGCAATGAGGACTGGTTGGCACCATTCGCCTGGGTTCTTGTTAAAGAACTTCAGTTTCAACTACGTGTTTTTTCGTGTATTGTTACACAAAGTTTCCTGATCAAGAGCCCATAGCTGGGAAGTTCTCGTGGCAGATCCTCTTGGCATCGCAGGACCGGCAGCGCAGCCGATCCCTTATCCTCCAGTCCCAGCATGTCCCAGCCACATCAGCTGTACGTCGTCCGTTAGCAGTCGCAAAGGCCATCAGATCAAGCACGCGATGCGTGAGCGTGGCTTGGACGTTGTTTGGTGAATCACCACCGACCCTTGCAGACTGCCATCGTGACAAAGGCGACGTCGTTTCGCTGGTCGAGTGCTGGTATCGGTCTTGCCCTCGGCACAGGAAGTTCGGTTCCATTCGGTTCGTTTCTCTTCGTACAGGGAAAAAAATTGGGGGCGGGTGCGGCGGTTCGGTTGGGTATGGGGTGTGGCACGGTGTGTCTGGCCACATCGAGGAGGACTGATGGGTGTCGTGGGGCAGAGAGCTTTTCTTCCTGAGGCCCTTCCTGTGAATAAGATCTGTAGTCCTTGCCCTGACGAGGTTTCCCGAGCACCCCGCAAGTTGTTGGGAACATGCTTGAAGACCTAGCTGGTTGAAAGGAAGCAGATGGCTGGAAGCTAGAGGCAATATAGGCGGTAGCAGGTGGTCGGAGGCGGCAGAGACGTCAAGGCGTTTAAAAGCCTCTACCCCGGTGCCGAGGGGTCACGCGAATATCCCAAATTAGCCGCGGTTCTCGGTTTGGCCGTTCCGTCTAAAGTGCGGTTCTTTGTGGTCGGTAAACGCTCCGTTCCAAGGGGCGTTCGGTTCAGCGTTTCCGGCTCTGCTCCACTATTTAGGTGCAGTGAAAGAGATGGCCGGTCAGCAAGCCTTGCGTGCTTTCGTTGTCTATCGATATCATGTGAAGGTAGAGGGATAGCCAGGGAAACACCCCCGGTTGTGAGCTCAATGTTTCGCTGCAATCAGAAATCTCGTGGCGGGGTCTTTGCCTTACAACCGTGGGCTCAAGGAAAATTGTTCCCCATCATCGGCACGGGTCGCTGCGCTTCGGTGCTCACATTTTCTCCTTGCCACATCTCCTCCTCCCAGATGACCAAAGGGGCCCCACTGCTTGGAGGTTCATGGAACGTATCAACCTAACCACAACTGTACGTACAAGCTTAGTAGCGCAGTGGCGCTCTTTTGCACATTTTTAAGTCCTAGGTCCCCTTACAAAAGTAACCAACCAAAGAAGGGGACCCGTATTCTGGGATGCAGCTCTTTTTAGCTTCATCAGTACCGTGAACCTCCAAGTGTTGACCCCTGAAGATTATCCTTGGAGTGCCTAGGGTTCCTGAGATGATCTTTGGCATGGGAAGCAGCCCACACCCCGGCAGCTACAGTGTCAGGGGTAGGGTGGAGGCCAGAACTTGCGCTTGAACACCATCGATGGCATCTGAGCAGAGAGCCCGCAGCAGGGCGATGTTGCCCAGGACCTAGCAGACAAACATAGTGATCATCCAGGTCTGTCCTAAGCCGAAGCATTCAAATGCCAGACCGCATGAAGACAAGGAATGCGAGTTGACCAAACCAGACCAGCCGCTGTTGTTCCATGGGAGGGGGGGGGGTTGGGGAGGGGGGGGTGTGTCGTGGTGGGGGGGGGAAGGGTTCATAAAAGCCAGTTCGTGTGTATGTTCCTGTTATGGACGAACGCATTGGGGTTGGGCCTGAAGCAGTTGCTAAGGATCCTGACCACTTTGAAGAGTGGTGTTTGCGGCTCAGATGGCTCAGTCAAGGCGTTCACGTTAAGTGCTAGTGAGTTCCACTGAGGCACCGAGCATGGTGAGAGACTGCTTGAGCCATGGCCGCACCATCTTCTTGATGTGCAATCCTGCGTGTCCTCAGCGCATGCACATCTTGGAAGCGAGGAAAGTGACAGCCCTCTACGTGGTCTGGGTTGGCTCCCCGTGTGCGATTGCATCTCTTGCCTGCATCCAGTCCCAGTGTCGCAGCTCCAGCTGGAGTTCTACAAGCCGCCCAAAAGTGGCCCCCACCAGGCAACCCTAAACCTTAAACACTAAACCCTAAACCTTAAACACTAAACCCTAAGCTCGACACTGATTGAATCCGGTGACTGCCCTTGATTCGGTCGATCTCAGGTGACAGCACTGGCTTTCTGAGATTGTTGATCGGTGCACCGTTTCTCTTGGTGTTTTTCTGTCTGCAAAGCGCTGAGATCGAGATCTTGACGGTGGCCAATGACAAGTTTTTAAGCCGGAGCTTAAGAGGTCAAGTGGTTGCATGCCTGTTTCCCAACTACTTTCTGACTTCTGCTGCCTATATGTCCTGCCTAGGCGCAGTTTGCAGCCTGATTGCAGAAGCTTCGGAGTGTGCCAGTGAGGCAGGAGAGTCTTGAGGCTGTGTAGGAGTTCAGTCGTAGCGCTCGCAAGCCAGGCCTGTGAATGCCTTGCTGCCATTGTCAGCAAGAAGATGCCAGCTAGCAAGAAGGCCTGGCCTTTGCCTGAAGATACGCTATTGAATCTCGCTCTTGCGCCCAAGAGTGGCGTTTTGTAGACAGGTACAAATGCTAAGCGAGCTGCAGATCTTCGCGCGCGGCATTCTTACAGCCGCTGCTCTCCTTACACGGCTCCTTTCCAACGGGCTCACGTCTAGGTCTCGAAGCTTGTGTGCATCGCGATGGTTCCGACCATCAGCGGGGCGCATACTGGAATTTTCGATAAGGGACTACAGAAAACTCCGGGAAGTTGGAACATGGCGTAGTAGGATGACTAGAGCTGGGATTCCCTTTAGTATACCTTTTGGGGTATGGGGATGAGGGTGTTCCAACTTTTTGGTTTAGGGTTTAGGGTTTAGGGTTTAGGGTTTAGGGCTTTTTGGAGTTTACTGTATAAACCCTGGACAAGAAGCCCCTGTGCAGGCTCCTCATCAAGGAGGCGGACATGACGAACTCTGTTGGAGAGGCTTGGGTTGAGGGTTTAGGGTTTAGGGTTTAGGGTTTAGGGTTTAGGGTTTAGGGTTTAGGGTTTAGGGTTTAGGGTTTAGGGTTCAGGGTTCAGGGTTTAGGGTTTAGGGTTTAGGGCTTGCGCTGTGCCCCAGACATTTCAGTAAGTTGCAGGGGGGTCATCCTGGATGTCAGTGCCAGTGTTTGGCACAGGTGATCTTGGAAGCCTACGTGGACCTCCGCGTTCAAAACGATGCCGACGGCGCCAGATTGGCCCAGGTCGGGCTTCAAGTTTGTAGACCCTGAACCGTAAACCCTAAACCCTAAACCCTAAACCCTAAACCCTAAACCCTAAACCCTAAACCCTTTTGGGTTGCGTTGTGCTTGGGGGGATGTTGTGGGGCCCATCGAGGTCGCATGGGAGTCCACCCGGGCCCTGATGCCGCTGGTGTTTTGGTTCTTCGCCCACAAGGAGTGCTGCGCTCAGCTCACGGACGTGCAAACGCAACGTGCGATGGACTGGCTGGGACTTGGTAGGGAAATCAGGGGTTGAGGGCCCCCATAGAGTCCCTTAAAGGGTATATATATATATATATAGGGCTCTAGAGTCCCTTAAAGGGTATCTATATATATATATATATATAGGGCATTAAAGGGCCTTAATATGTATTCCACTACTAAGAACCAGGGGAATGGCATCAGAGCCCTAAACCCTAAACCCTAAACCCTAAACCCTAAACCCTAAACCCTAAACCCTAAACCCTAAACCCTAAACCCTAAACCCTAAACCCTAAACCCTAAACCCTAAGCCCTAAACCCTAAACCCTAACCCTAAACCCTAAAAGCTCTTCGAAGTCGCTGCTGGGCAGGCATCAAGTAGCCGTCTGCGTCGAGCCTTACTTGACCGAATTCTTCGTCAAGGCCAGCCACCGTCCACTGCCCCACTTCGGTTTAGGGTTTAGGGTTTAGGGTTTAAGGTTTAGGGTTTAGGGTTTCGGGTTTAGGGTTTAGGGGTGCAGCAAGATGCAGTGGAGGTGAAGAGTTTCGTGGCCGACGGTCCGAAGCGTGACATGGAGATGGCTCCGTGTCACTCTGTTTCACTGGAGCAGGCGCATGCACAGGAAGTACAGCTTTGCGTCACGTCTTCTTGCCTTTCTTTTTCCCCTTTTCTTGGGAGCTAAGTGCCAGTTTAGAGCCAGTTTCGCCAGGTCAGGCCCATCTTGATGCAGACGCTGCAGTCGAGCGGGCTTGTTTCAAGCAGGGGAGGGCAAGGCCCCAGGGCATGCCAGCCGAAGCTGCCATCTGCCCCGCATGACAGGCTTATCATTCAGAGAACGGCATATCCGCCCTGGTTGGCCTCCAAGTTTTGAAGCCGCAGCGGGGCTTGGGGGGGGTTCCAGTGTCGCCTGTGGTCATGGCTTGAGTGCTGTGGCAGTCTTGTCTTGGCCGTTGGTAGTTGCGCGCCAACACAGCTGTGATGATGTTGACTTGTAAATGGATGGTTGCGGTGACGGTGTCTGATCTGGCCAGTGAGGTTTCAGCACCACGATCCGAACTTTGAGGATGATGAGCCAGGAGCCCCAAAGAGCTCTTAGCACATGGTGTGCAGCATGCAGAGATGGCTGGCACTCAGCAAAGGAGAGCCCCACACCCTAAACGCCAAACCCTAAACCCTAAACCCTAAACCCTAAACCCTAAACCCTAAACCCTAAACCCTAAACCCTAAACCCTAAACCCTAAACCCTAAACCCTAAACCTCTCTACACATCCCGTTTTGAAAATGGACCTGAGGCAGCACGTGGCCTTCCTCGAGTTTCGCAAGAGCTTGACAAAGATCTACAAGCCTGGACCGCGGAGGGGCGGTTTGTGTGGCCCTTGGGATCTTCATTCACTTTTATTCATCGTGTGGTGCTTGAGGCGCATCTTCTTAGTCGATGAGCCGCGATGGCCTCGAGAAGTTTGGTGCATTTTTACACAGTGCAGTTGAAAGCCTTTCAGCTCTGGTAAGGCTTGGCTTCCAGTTCGTGCAAGCATCTGTTGCTCAGCTCACACAGACGCTTTCGGGCGTGCAGCCCATGGAAGTCGCCTGGCTCACTTGGCTCACTTGGCTCACTTGGCTCACTTGGCTCACTTGGCTCGGCTTGCCATGCTCTCTCGACAACGACACGCTTCAGCGAGGTGGACGCAGTCCTCTACCTCTTCAAGGACGATGTCTGGCGTGCGCTCGAGTTAGGTCTGTGCCTGTTTGTACATGATGGCAGGAGGCAGGCGAGACCGTGAAGCAGCTGGAGCAGCATTTGCAGGAGCGGTTTGTCTTGTTAGTCAGCACTTCATGGTCTCAGCTGTTCTGTAGCTGGGCCTCAAGCAGCATGGTGAGCTTGTGATGCGCATTCTGGTTTTCCACGGCTACTCGGGCAATGGATCCTGGCAGAAGCGCAGGGACGAGCACCTGCAGAAGCTGCTCTCCCTCTATGATGTGTGGCTGCACTATGCAGATGGGCCAATCCAGCTTCCCCCATTTTCAGCAGAGGGCATCCAGCGACGCCTGTCATGGTGGTCATTCAAGAGAGAGGACAGCTGGTCAAGAATGCTGGCATACTTGCTTGAGGTTTTTCGCAGGGACGGGCCATTTGATGGAATAATGGGATACAGCCAGGGTGCCGCTGTGGCTGGGGGCCTGGCGGCGGAGATGCTGGTTGGGCACTTTCCCGTTACTTTCCAGTTCGCCATTGTAATCTGTGGGTATTTAGCACCGACCCCAGATCTGAAACAACTACTCGGGCTGCTCGATCGGCAGCATCAAGCCCGGGAAACCCGCACAACGGTTTTCCGCTGGCAGCGGCCGAAAACAGCCGACGTCCCACAGTGGAGGCTGTTCCAGATTCCCACGTTGCACGTGATGGGAGAAGCTGACAGGGTTACCCCTGTGACTTAGTAGTAGAGTCGATAACATTTAACCTTTTTGGGGTAGTATAATTCCTATACGATCTTCAAGGTTAACCTTCAGTTTTCTAGGCTACTGGACGGCTCAGGTGAGAATGAATCTGGAAATGGCAAGCTTGTTTGCAGATCCTGTTCCAGCCTGAGTTGAACTGCCATCTTTTGTGCATTCTTCAGGCTGCCCCAAACCGCAAGCCTCAGAACTCAGAAGATTCTGGGCCTCGAGCCCTGCAGCATAAGGGTTTCAACGCGCGACGCGAGCCCGCCCCCGGAGGGTTTCGACACCTTAAAACCCCAACAGCCTAAACCCTAAACCCTAAACCCTACACCCTAAACCCTAAACCCTAAACCCTAAACCCTAAACCCTAAACCCGAACCCTTCAACTGTAAACTCGAGCTTCGCATCCAAAACACAAAGAGCATTGGGATGTTGTGCGGTTCAGAGGATTGGATCATGTTTGTTCGGGGCAGAGAAGCTAAGAACATCTCGTCACAAGCTCCTGATTCAGGTTCAAAGCCCTAAGCCCCAAGCCCGACACCCTCAACCCTTTAAACCCGAAAGGGGCTGTTACCCTAAACCCTAAACCCTAAACCCCAAACCCTAAACCTAAACCCTAAACCACCTAAACCCTAAACCACCTAAACCCTAAACCCTAAGCCCTAAACCCTGATGCTAAAACCCTGATGCTAAAACCCCTGATCCCTAAACCCTAAACCCTTCCCGAGGTTCTGGTGCGGCATCCTGGTGGCCATCATCTACCATTTGCCACAGGGCCCATCCGGGGCCTGGCCAGGGGCCTAAGGGCAGTCTCGGGTGTAGGGTTTAGGGTTGAGGGTTTAGGGTTTGTTTGTTTTATTTCAGTTTGGGAGTTTGGGGGGGGGGGTGGCCTTCTGTTTGGAGATAAGACCCCGAAAGAAGCTCAAGAGCCGACACCGTGAGCCCCCATCGATGCACTGAGGTGGCCTTCTTAGCTCCCTTCATGGGAGCTCTGCACGCCTCACGGGCTGTCCAGGCGCCAATCTATCCTGAACCCTAAGCCCTCACCCTAAAACCGAAGACCCTAACTCCTAAACCCTAAACCCTAAACCCTAAACCCTAAACCCTAAACCCTAAACCCTAAACCCTAAACCCTGGGGTCAGGGGGAGAGTAGGACTCCGCAAGCCCCTTGCGGGCGAAAGGACATGGATCAGGGGCAAGGGCTCTGCCTCCAATGTGCACGCTTCTGCTCAGATGGGCGTTCGCACAACAAGAAGTGGCATCTTGGCGCCTGGCATTGAGGGGTCAACTGGAAGATCAGTGGCGAGACGATTCATGGTAGTATCTGGAAGAACGAGGTGTCTTACAAAATCTTGTGGGTACCTCCTACCATTTGGGGGTTTATATTCAGGGTCCCTTATCATCGTAAGCCCGAATGTGGCAGCCTAGGTACTGCAGTGCATGCTGGACACTCTGGCAGTCATCCCACTCACTTTTGCCTGACGAGGCCCGGACTTTCGGAAATCGCTCTTCAAAAAGATGCCCATATATTCTTCTAGTATTACATGATTATATGACCATCTTACTATACTTACGTATTACTGGAATATCTCTTGGGTTATTCTTAGTATATGTGTTTATTCTCCCGTGTCCCAAGGATGCTGAAGTTCAGCTCGCCTTGGAGGTGAGCCTCGCAGGCGGTGCAGACAGCGCAGACGATGTTGCCGAGCAAGGGCTCCTCTCGGAACTCTCGGAGATGCGGCAGAGTTGCCCAAGCTGCCAGAGCTTCTATCCCAGTCCACGAGAATTGGAGGTTGGGGGGTCTCGGGCTTCTCAGGCGGAAGAATCGCTTCAACCTGACACCCCTGACCTTGCCTGTTCTGGAAATCCGATCCGCAGACGGTGGGGAAAAGGAGAGACCGCCCTGCGTAGTGCCTGGAATTCATCCTGAACCCTAAGCCCTAAACCCTAAACCCTACACCCATACGCGAAACCCTAAACCCTAAACCCTAAACCCTAAACCCTAAACCCTAAACCCTAAACCCTAAACCCTAAACCCTAAACCCTAAAGGAGCACACCACCTGCTTGGAGGCCAAAGGTCCGCTGGCTGGCTGCTTCGTGCAGCTTCTCGAATGTGAGCCATTAGCCTGTCTCTCAGAACTCAGCAGTCCGCCCAAAGCTCCCAGATCGCATCATCTCATGTTTGTGTGCTATCCCACAAAACCATGTCTTATCTTATCGTGCCTTAAACCCTAAACCTAAACCCTAAACCCTAAACCCTAAACCCTAAACCCTAAACCCTAAACCCTAAACCCTAAACCCTAAACCCAAAATGATATTCCTGTACAGCAGAAGAGGTCAACGCTGATCACTGGGCCGTGCAGCTTGCAATGATGGAGGTCTACGCTCAGGGCTCAGTGCGCTGGTTCCCCCTCTCTCGGAGTTGCTGTGAGTTGCAGAAGTAGAATGATGTCACCGCATCATCATATCATAGTATCACAATTGTAATATGAATATGACAATAAAGTCGTACGACAACGTACGAATTTCTTCATAACATACTATGATAATGAAATGCTACTTTTTTTGTTGTCCAGCTATGGAAGGTGAAGTATGGGAAGCTCTTTGCCTTGCACCAGGAGCTGTTCCCAAGGCTGCTTCGGGATGTGTACATGCGATTGCCTTGCATGAAGTGCATCTGCTTCTTGTCCAGCTCTCCGCTGGCTCGTGGGCCAGGTTGTCTCGGCAGGTTGTGGAGTGTAGGCTGCATGCCATGTGTCCTGCAGGTATGGGCAGAGGGTGCTGCAAGCTCTGCTAAGTCCCCGAGGCTGGGGTTCAGGCTTGGAGGTTAAGTTGTCGGCTTTTGTCGTTGGGGTTGGGAAGCTGGATGCTGGGGCGGGCTTTCTGCGCTACTGGATGTGCCAATGTCTTAACCGTCTTGACCTGCCTTGCCAGCAGTCTTCCGGTTTCTCTTTTGCTGCAGGCGTACATTCCAGCAATCCTCACCTTGTGGCTTATCTGAGAACTGACGGGCAAGCCTCATGTCGCTACTTTAGCTATTGCACGAGCACGAATCTCAGGCGGCTCGCGCTTGCTTCATGTTCGGTCGCTTTGTGAAGTTGGCCTGCCAGCCCAGCTGTTTTGCTATCAAGATAGTCAAAGCTTGAGGGGCGGTCAATCCCCAAGGTCAAAGTCCAAGCTGCAGCCCTTGTGGCACAGATCCATGAAGCTTTGCAGGACAGGGTTTAGGGTTTAGGGTTTAGGGTTTAGGGTTTAGGGTTTAGGGTTTAGGGTTTAGGGTTTAGGGTTTAGGGTTTAGGGTTTAGGGTTTAGGGTTTAGGGGCTTTTGCAGAAGTGGCACAGTCACGCTGAGAAACGCACAGCTGCGTTGCCGAAGGATCTCCTCATTGTACAGTGCCCTCTTGGGTGCAGTTTAGGGTTTAGGGTTTAGGGTTCGTGCATTCCAGTCGGTGTGCTTCAGGTATGTTCCATCAGCACTCCTTCCTGTACAGGCTGCAGTTTTTGTGTGCTACGCAGATGTGTTGGCCCGGACATCGACTTGCGGGAATCTTGATCAGAATGTCATCCGCATGGCTTCAATCAGGCGGAAGTGTCGCTGACAAAAATCGCTGCAAACTCAAGTCGAATTGTCGAACCACTGCAAAGCTGTGTTGCAATCTATGAATGTGTGCTACAGGCTGTCAAGGGTGCGCTTAAGGCAGACGATCAGGTGGGGGGCGGGGAGGGGGAGAGCTGATGTTCAGAGACTCTGGCCACAAAGGGCTCCTTGCATCACGACTTGCGCCGATGAGTCGTATGTCCAATGCCTTTGAGCTCGTTTCTTGTCCATAGGGGGGTTTCCAAAATTAGGGGTACCTTATTGGGGTCCTCATTAGTCGCCTGTGAGGCCAACCTCTATGAGGCGCTGGCAAATCTCGCAACAGCGAGTAGGCCAGAAGAGTGTCTCAGCTTCACCTGCCATGAACTACACCAAACGCAGAAAACTCCAAACTTTCCTAAACCCTAAACCCTAAACCCTAAACCCTAAACCCTAAACCCTAAACCCTAAACCCTAAACCCTAAACCCTAAACCCTAAACCCCAAACCCTAAACCCTAAACCCTAAACCCCTGAGACCCCAAAGGCAAGTCCGAACCTCTGACTGCATCTGAGGCTCCCGGCGAAGCTGGAGATGCTCCTGAAAGGCAAGCAATAGTTGATATCCCACGGTATGGCGGGTTTAGGGTTTGGGGTTTAGGGCTTACTCTTTTTCTTTGGGGGGGGGGGGTTCCTATCACGAGGGGACACGGCATTTTTGGGTCTATTCGGGGACCTCTTTTTTGGGTGCATTTAGGGAATATCCAGAGTGCACTATGCGAACATCAGCCTTTGACCAACAGTTGAGGGTTAGGGTCTACGGTTAACAAAACAGGTTTTGTGACGAAGGCGGCACCACCTAGTCCATATGGTCAGTTCTCAACTGATGGTCCTTTTTTGGGTACCCTTAATATTCGAGGGCTGTCTTATCACAGTAACCCCAAAAGGGACCAGAATTAGAGAACTCACCAGCTATGTACATAAGAAAGCCTACGGCATTCACCGGATCTGCGCACAAGACAATGCTGTCGCCGTCGCGACTTGGTATTGCGCAGACACCCTTCACCCATGTCGGGTGTGTCTCGGCATGCATTGCCAGAGACTCGGGCACCATCTGTCAGGCCCCGCTCAGAATCTATCGGAGATCATCTCCGGTGCGGCGTCATCACGCACTGGCGCTTGCCTGAGTACTCCGCCGATTCGCGTGGCAATCTGAGCATTGTGTGGTGCGATGGCTTAGCAACTAGCGACCAGTGCCATTTTGCATAGCATGAGGCAACGACATAGCTGGCTGTGCCGGCTTGCGGCTTGTTCATTTGCTGCTGTTTGCCATAGCCACTTTGAACCCGCACAATCTGTGTCGCGTACCTGTCGCGTACCGAGGATGGGCTGGTAGAAGCATCGAGGCGCATCATCTCAGCTCGTAGAGATTGCAGGGTTTAGGGTCGAGGGTCTAGGGTTTCGGGTTTGGGGTTTAGGCTTTCTTGCTACTCCTGGTCCGAGCCTCACAGGCCATTGCCACCGTTAGCAAGGCTTTCAATGTTTCGCACCTTGGATGCATTGCACACTCTTCTTGTTGTATTATTCGAACTTTATATCATTATTATTAAAATTTAAATTATTATTGTTTTTATTGCATTAGTATATGATCAATTTAGTATATCAGTCGAGTTGGCGAATCATGGCCGGCTTGTCTTCTTAAGAACTTACAGCTTCTGAAAAGCTGTGCAGTATCTATGAAAGTGTGCGACAGGTGGCTGAAGGTTTGACTCAGATGTTCATGATGTTCGCATATGAGCCGGCAGCAAAGACACTCAGCCTGGTACGCCAAGCCATCCTAACTCAGGGGGCACCATAAGCCCTTGCCTTTCCCTAAACCCTAAACCCTAAACCCTAAGCCCTAAACCCTAAGCCCTAAACCCCATACCCTAAACCCTAAAACCTTAAGCTGCAGTTTCAAGAACATGCTGACTTGATCGAAGGCATGCTTCCACAGCCCCTGTCTGGGCCTCATCTTTGTTGGAGCAAAGCTCAGCATGCGATACGACTATTTGTATTATTATGATATCGTGTATTTTTTATCCGCATAGTAGTATGCGAGTATTTTAGTATATTCTGGGTATGCTATGTTCTAGTTCTGTGATTATGTTATTCTGTTATTGTGTGACTATATTCTTACGGTTTCTTGCTTCTGCGCGACTGCGTCCTAAGGCTTGGGAGCAGGTCTTGATGATTGTAGCTCGCATCCTCGAGAAGTTCGTGAACCACTTGAATCGTGAGGCGGCACTCTTGTGGCCAGCGAGTTGTGTGTGGGAAGGACTGCAGCTCGAAAGCCCGAGCTCCTGTCACACTGGGCCAGCTCTCAGTTCTTGCTGGTTCTTAGTAGGGAATCAGGTGAGGTACCCTATATAATCCCTTGAAGGGTATACATAGGGCTCTCATCCCTAAACCCTAAACCCTAAACCCTAAACCCACCTTCAGTAGCCGCAGATTGGGCTTTGGCGAGCCGCGCTCTTCCTCTGTCGGCGGATGGCGAGCGACTCAGAATTGAAAACTCTTTCGGAAGCTTTCAGACGCAATAACCCTAAACCCTAAACCCTAAACCCTAAACCCTAAACCCTAAACCCTAAACCCTAAACCCTAAACCCTAAACCCTAAACCCTAAACCCTAAACCCTAAACCCTAAACCCCTAAACCCTAAACCCCAAACCCTAAACCCTAAACCCTAAACCCTAAACCCTAAACCCTAAACTGGTTCTTAGTAGGGAATGGGGGGATGAGGGCCCTCTATATACCCTTTCGGGGGCTATATAGGGTACCTCATTCCCTCCTCCCCTGCTAAGAACCAGCCTGAGCTTGCCTTTGCCCACCTGAATCGATGCGGAGGTGGAAGTGCTGGGTGATCGTTTCCTGATCGTCCTGGACACCTTGCTGCCTTTTCTTTACGCTGCCTGGCACAACTCTAAACCCTAAACCCTAAACCCTAAACCCTAAACCCTAAACCCTAAACCCTAAACCCTAAACCCTAAACCCTAAACCCTAAACCCTAAACACATCGTGCTGGCTGGCTTTTGTCCGCAGCTGCGAGCTGCACCACTAGGACGTAGAAACATCCTAGGTATTATTATAACAATACAGAAACATAGTAATATAGCAATATAGCGATATCATCATATAACGATATACCGATATCAGAACAAAAAATTCGGTGGCTTGACGCACTTCGCTCAGCACGTGGGGCCCTCGAGCCAGACGGCCATCGATAAAACCGCTGTGGGCACACCAGCAGCTCTTCACTGCTCGTGGTTTTGGTACGGCTGCAAGAGGGTCGGGGTTTCCAAAATCAGGCTTTAGGGTTTAGAGTTTAGGGTCTAGGGTTGCGTGTGTTGAGCCTGGGTCGTTTGGAAGAATGACCCGCTCTGCTTTTCCATCGTGTGCGTCGACTTGGCCCCTCCCCCCCCCCCAAAGGTCACAAGGCTTGGGGCGACACTGACTTCACCCCCAGCCTGGCCACGAAAGGGCACCAGGACACCCCCGGGCTTCCTTTCGCATGCGATTATCTCAATTGTCTCTGCTGAAGCGCGTCTTTTGTCCAGGGATGGGCATTATCAAAGGAGTAGGAAGTCAGGTAAGTAGAATGTGAATGGAGCCGGAGAACACTTGTCAAGTTCGCATCACAATGCAGCTGCTCCAGGACGTGGTTTCACTCGAGGATGCGTTGAGGGTTTAGGTTCAGGGCACCGATACAGGATACGGTAGCCACTTTGTCTCGTGCGACATGCGGCCCCGTTTTTCGAGGGGGAGACTTCTCCGCCAACGCTTCCCTGTCCCGAGCACTCCCGCGAGTCGTGTCCTCTTGCGCCTCCCCCCCCCCCCCTCGCCTGATTCGGAGTTCACAAAAGCCCCCCCCCTCCCCCCACCTTGAGGCTACAAATGATCAGACGGTCAGGAGCCAAGGTGCCAAAAAGAGCCCAGGTGCCCCAAGAAGCTGTTCTATTGTGATCCTTCTTATTATTGTTTCTATCACAGTTATCATTATTAATTCTCTTGAAAACTTACTTTTGCAGAGATCTACTAAGGACTTGACAGAGCTTACAGTCTTCGCACATCATTTGGTGTGCCAGTATCAGAAGAAGACCCAACCTCACCTGCAGAAGTGGCAGGGAACCTGGTCTCTTGTTCCGGCTCGTTGCACGACATGGTTTAGGGTTTAGGGTTTAGGGTTTAGGGTTTAGGGTTTAGGGTTTAGGGTTTAGGGTGACATGGCTCTTGGCATGTGCGGAAAGATGTCAAGCTCATTGCTGGCGCCGCTGATGGCTCTGCAGGCAGTATGGCTTTTTTAGTCTTCGTGTGCGGTAGATCACCCACTCAAGGCTTCTGCCAGGCTAAAATCAGGTAGCCTCAGACCTGTAGGTCAAGAGCCCAGAGCCAGTGTCTGTTTGAAGACCGCTTTCGTTCAGGAGCCATGACGGAGGGTTTCGGGTTTAGGGTTTAGGGTGTAGGGTGTGATGGGCAACTGCCCGACCCCGATGTCTTGAACCCATCAAAGTAATGGGCAGCCATGGCTGAGAACGATGAGGCAGCAAAAAAGAGCGGAGAGGGACTGTAGCAGTGTACCACGCCAATGCTTAAAGGGTACAGATAGGGGTACCTTATATAACCCCTTAGAGGGTCTATATAGGGGTACCTTATGCAACCCTTAAAGGGTATATATGTATATATATATATGTATATATGTATATATGTATATATGTATATATGTATATGTGTATATATGTATATATGTATATATGTATACAAGTATATATATATAGGGGTACCTTATATAACCCGGTCTATATAGGTGCCCCTATATGTAACCCCTGAACGGGTCTATATAGGGGTACCCTACATAACCCCTTAAAGGGCCTATAGAGGGCCCTGAAGTTGCGTGCGGCGCGGGGTCGCCAGGCAAACCCTCAGCGACGCCTTCAGCGGTTCTTGGAGCAAAAATTTGGCTCCACCCTGAAGGCGGGCTCCTCCCCCTGGTTCCTAGTAGGGTTTAGGGTTTAGGGTTTAGGGTTTAGGGTGTAGGGTGCAGGGAATTGGGGGAAGGAGGTACCCTATATAATCCCTTAAAGGGTATATATTGGGGGATATGGGGTCATTCCCAGCAAGTATGCTCTTCGGCAATTCTGTGCTGGCTGTCCGTTGATCTCCACAGTGTGAGATGCTTGCAAGACGTACTTCAGGCTTGGGTCACAGTCTTGGATGTCGACAATGCCCCTCACCCAGCTTGCATGGGCTTTTTCTTCTCTGAATTGTGGAAAGGCCCTAAACCCTAAACCTAAGCCCTAAACCCTAAACCCTAAATTAACCCCAAACCCTAAACCCCTCCCAGGTCCAACGGATTAACAAGATCGAGTTCAGCGAGGTGCTGCGCAAGTACCAGTACCCAGGGAACATACAGCAACTCTTCGGCGAGCTTGATGACGATGGCTCCGGGGAGGCTCAGCGACAATATGTGTTTAGATCATAGCTTCATGGGTTTAGGGTTTAGGGTTTAGGGTCTAGAGTTTAGGACTTAGGGGATAACAACTCTGGTTCTCTGACATTGAGACCGCCATCCGAGGAAATCACACTGTACGAAATCGACCCCGCCCAGTCTGTGGCGTGCTGCAAGAAGTGGGTTGCCTCACGTCAGTCACATTCCAGTGTCTGCGTGGCCCTCTGCAAAGTTGTGCTCAGGTGCTCTGGAACAGCTTCCGACTCTGGTGTATTGGCGCCTTTAGGTCGGTTGAGGAGTTGCTGACAAGACTTGGAAACACCAATGAGGAACGTCTGAAAAGCCGGATGACCATCAAGTCCCGGCAGTCGGCTCTTACCGAAGCTTGGCTCTCACAATATGCCTCTAAACAAGGTTTCGTGGCCCTGTGTGCACACCCCGCCCAAGCTGTTTTTTTGAGAGCCACGCCCAAGCACCGTAAGAAGTCTGCGGAGCCTGACTTACCCTAAACCCTAAACCCTAAACCCTAAACCCTAAACCCTAAACCCTACAGTGAGGAAGAGCAGTTTGCAAAGCGCATCCTTGAGATGGGCTGGACACATGGGCAAGAGAAGCTGGTCTTCAGCGGCCTAGATTGGGATGGATCAGGCCTTCTAGGGCTTTAGGGTTTAGGGTTTGGGGTTTAGGGTTTAGGGTTTGGGGTTTAGGGTTTAGGGTTTGGGGTTTGGGGTTTGGGGTTTAGGGCTTTGGGTTTGGGGTATAGGGGTCCTTCACAGGGCTGTCTCATCTTCTCAGGGTTGGCGCAGGAATTCAGAGGTTGTTTGTGCTCACGCGGGTGCTAGCGGCCCTGGGTAAAACGCTAGTTTCGGCACTTCTTGCTGACTTCTTGCGGTTTTCTTGTTGGGGGGTGGGGGTGGGGGGTGGGGGTGGGGATAAGATTGTCATGCATATTGCGTCCATGCCTAAAAAGACTGGTATTTACAGCGTTTTCGCTTCTTTGTACAACATGCTGCACAAGGATGTGGAACAAGAACATCTGTCACATGCGTCCATGCCTTTCGCGACCAAAAGCGTGCTTTCCGTGCTTGACGTCTCCGCGCAACCCCAAAGCCCTAAACTTGAACCACCGCAAGCCCGTTGCACCCTGAACGCTCCAGCCCCCCAAAAAAACATGCAAAACGCTGAAAACATTGGCGGGCATGGCACTTTTCAACATAAGACCACATTGCAGTTACACCGTTCCACCCTGAACGCAAAGCCCGAAAACGCGCCGAAATCGCAAAAACATATCCCCAAAATACACGCTGCGAAATCCTGCGTGGGTTAAAACCATATTTCCTTGTGCAAACGGTCCAGGGCCGCTAACGCCCGCGTGACCTTGTTTGCTCCTCCTAAACCCTGAAACCTTAAACCTTTCAACCCTTGAACCCTTGAACCCTTAAACCCCTTGAAGCCTTAAACCCTCAAACCCTAAGCCCTAAACCCTAAACCCTCAACCCCAAACCAGGCAAGTTGGGTCGCGAGAGCTTCCGGTGGCTCGAGGCGGAGTTCCGCCGGATCCAGCGGAAGATGGACGCCAAGAGCCGTGCGATCCACTCGCTCCGCAAGCAGCAGGCCCCCCAAAAGGGTTTAGGGTTTAGGGTTTAGGGTTTCGGGTTTAGGGTTTAGGGTTTAGGGTTTAGGGCTTAGGGTTTAGGGTTTAGGGTTTAGGGTTTAGGGCCTAGGGTTGAGGGCTTAGGGTTGAGGGGGGCCCTTCGAGGCACATGAAGCCCAAGAGCAGACGATGGAGCGCTTCAAGGAGTACCTTGTGAAGAAGCACGGGAATCTGGTAAGGGCCTGGCGGGTGGCATTGAGCAGCAATGACGTGATGTCAATTCCGAAGACGCCTTTTCTGAAGGCTTGTGCTCTCATAGGCTTCTCGCACGAAGCCCGAGATCTCTGGCGTATTCTTGACAAAGACGAAAGCGGGTTTGCCGCACTGGAGGAGCTGGATCCGCCCAGTGCTGAGACTTTAGCACGTTTCAAGGCTTTTCTGGAAAGAAGGTTTGGATCAGTTTCGAATGGCTTCGCATCCCTTGATCCGGACAATTTGAAGAAGGTCAACTACAAGCAATTCGACAGGTTGCTGCGTGAGTGGGGCTGGGTTGGTGGTACAAAGCAGCTCTTCCAGCATTTGGACAAGGACCACTCCAAGACAATTGAGGACTCTGATCTGAAATTCTTGGAGAGGTGGCACCCGCAACCGTACTTTCTCGTTGAAGCAAACTACGCCGCCAGAGAAGAAGTCCGAGATCTGATTTCCCAGAAGTATGGTGGGCATTTTCTGAAGGCCTGGAAGCACCTCCTGGACAGGAATAGCAGTAACCGCTGCAACTGGTTTGAATTCCAGGCTGCGTGCCATAAGATTCGATACCATGGGGATGTGGCTGGAGCTTGGCGTGCCTTTGACGAGGACCTTTCAGGCTACATCACGCTGAACGAGTTGGACGGGGAGGCAAACACTACTCTCTGCAAGTTCAAGAACTGGGCATGGACCGAGTTTGGCACAGTGAGAGCCGCATTCGGGGTTTTCGACCATGATGCGTCGAATAGCCTCACGTTCCAAGAGTTTCGTGGCAACTGTCGAATCTATGGCTACACTGGTAATGCCCGCCAGCTGTTTGCTGCTCTCGACGTCAATCAAGAAGGTACCTTGTCTATGCAGGAGACATGCTTCTTGGACGACTGGGAAATGGAGACTAACCAGCAAGAAGACCGAACAAACGTCGAGAAGCGGGAAAGCCACATCCGCCGCATTGATGACACAGTCCGCAAGCATGTGAAGAAGCAGGCAAGACCTGAAAGACTGTCTGAGTTGTCCTGCCGGTCGCATAGCAAGCGATCACTCAAGAGCGAGTCCAGCATGAGCGACGCTGATCCAGAGTTTGTGGACGAGTCTGACCGATCTTCCAAGGCAACTTGGCAAGAATTTCGAGAGAATGGTCGTACGGAGGGCTTTTTCAGGCTAATTTCGTGTGTTGCCCATGCTGTCAAGAGAGCTGCGTCCCATGCTGCAAGCCTGGCTGGGTCCACGGAGCGTCTCCCGGGAAACGGAGCCCCCCCCCCCACATTGGAAGTGGTATTGAGTTCCTGGGGGCTGCCCCGCAGGGTTGGAGAGAGGTGCGGGGACTCGGGGGCCCTCCGACTTCTTTTGTGCAGACCTGTAGAGCTCCGGCCCTATGCAAATAGACCGCCCGGTGCATTTGCTTCCAGAGACGATGTCAGGTGGCACAAGTGAAGCAGACGCTGCAAATGCGGGCAGATTTGCCTCTGATCCCTCTGTATACATGGCCACATCGACGCCCAGGCATGAGAAGAGTCTTAGGGTTTAGGATTGAGGGTTTAGAGTTTAGGGTATTTAGGGCAGGCAGTAAGGTTCTGAGGTGTATCAAAACTGCTGCAAGGCGATGGAGCTGAGGAGGTACACGTACCGCACCACTGTGAGCAGCGAAAGAGACCTGGCCAGCACGCATAGAAGTCCTTGCAAGTATTGCAGTACTTTACCTGCTAGGCCTCTAAACCCTAAACCCTGAACCATAAACCCTAAACCCTAAACCCTAAACCCTAAACCCTAAACCCTAAACCCTAAACCCTAAACCCTAAACCCTAAACCCTAAACCCTAAACCCTAAACCCTAAACCCTAAACCCTAAACCCTAAACCGTTCGTCCTTGGTGCATGTTCCGCAGCTCAGGGATCGCGAGAGAAAGCACTGGGTTCAAGAAGCTGCAGACGACTGGGTCTTCATGGGCCATTTCAAAGAGCTTGCGCAGGAGACGGATGCATGGTTTAGGGTTTAAGGTATGGGGTTTAGGGTCTAGGGTTTAGGGTTTAGGGTTTAGGGTTCAGGGAGCTCAAGATTGCAGGTGCACCTGTAAGCGTCACTCCAAGATGTGTGCGCGGTTTTTGTGAAGGACATGATGCTCGGTGAACTGCATCGTCCCGAAGAGACCGTTGTGCTACCCTCAGCAGTGAAAGATGTTGGATTCCCAGATAGCTAGTGCTTGGAGTGCGGTATGGGCTTCGACCGTCTCTCAGCGCGATGAAGCGATGTGAAGAGGACAGCACCGTGCGGCTTTCGTGTTGAGGCAAAGCAAACAGCCACATGCCTTGCGCAGCCGAGGAACTCTTCAACCCAAAGGCATCAAGACGCAAGCTCGCACCGCTTGCCCACACGCCGCGCTCACCTCGCGCTTTGCTGAAGCCGAGTCCTGACCCAATGGCCTATGGCACTCGTGAGACAAGATTGATGGTAAACCGTTTGGAGGCTGTAGCTATAGCCTGGGGCTATCGGAATGCGCACTTTGGTTTCGGAACCCTAAACCCTAAACCCTAAACCCTAAACCCTCAACCCGAAACCCTCAACCCTCAACCCTAAACCCTAAAACCCTCAACCCTGAACCTTAAACCCTGGTGCTTGCACTGTTGGATTTGAGAGGGCTTTTCTCAATGTCAGTGAGGACGCTCGATGATCTGCTGGGAACGGTCCGAAGCCCCAGTGGAGGGCGAGAGCATTGTCAAGATAGGGTTTAGGGTTTAGGGTTTAGGGTTTAGGGTCATTGTCAAGAAGAGAGAGGCGCAAAGTGAGACCCCGAAACCCCAAACCCTGAGCTACCCTAAGGCCCTAAACCCTAAGCTACCCTAAACCCTGAACCCTGAACTAGAAGTCAACCTGTAGCCCTAAACCCTAAACCCTAAACCCTAAACCCTAAACCCTAAACCCTAAACCCTAAACCCTAAACCCTAAACCCTAAACCCTAAACCCCAAACCTTAACCCCAAAAAAATAAGTTACCCTAAGCCCTAAACCCCGAATTCCCCCAAACCCTCAACCCTAAGCTGCCCGCAACCCCCACCCGAAATCCTAAACTACCCTAAGCCCTAAACCCTAAACTACACCTGAACCCTAAACCCTAAACCCTAAACCCTAAACCCTAAACCCTAAACCTTAAACCCTAAACCCTAAACCCTCAACAAATCTCATGCCATAGTCTTCCCGAGGACAGCAAGCGCATGGCTTTGACGGGATATTTCACACCTCGCCTTCCGAGGCAGACTTTAGGGTTTAGGGTTTAGGGTTTCGGGTTTAGGGTTTAGGGTTTAGGGTTTAGGGAGACTGTACCTCCCGGGGCCAAGCTGTGTGAGAATGCCGGGTAGGGTTTGAGGGTTTGGCGTCATGACGTTGGGTCAGTAGAGGTTTGTAAGGGTTGCAAAGCCTTCATATGGGTTTGTAAGGGGCACAAGGAATAGAAACCCTAAACCCTAAACCCTAAACACTAAACCCTAAACCCTAAACCCTGAACCCCCCTACTCCATGTGGGTTTGTAAGGGTCCCTGGCGCAGGCTCATGAGCGTTCCCCGCCTCGAACAGCGCTCTCCCAACACAGCTCGCTGAGCCCGTCAGCCGATGTACTTGGAGGTTCATGGTACTTATTAGCCGAACCCTTTAGGGTTTAGGGTTTAGGGTTTAGGGGTACTTATGAACCAATTATAACTGTACATCTAGCTGTACTGATAACTATAACCACTTACGGGGCTTATAAGTGGCTTAAAAGTACAGTTAAAATTGTTTAATAACCACTTAAGGGGCTTATAAGTGGGTTAAAAGTACAGTTAAAATTGTTTAATAAGTGCCATGAACCTCAAAGTAGCGGTGTGGTGCCATTCGTGAGTTTTCCTGAGCACACTCTGCAAGCGGATGGCGCAGTCACAGAGTTTTCTAAACGATTCAGGCCGGTCTAGGCCTTGTTGGCTTTTCAAGTTTTGAACAACATGTGCACGCCTTGGGCGCATTAGTGATGTGGACGACGTATGCCCAAAGATGCAATACTAGGAGCTTCCAAAACGGAAAGCTTTCGTCCCAGTGGAGACCTGTCGCACACCTCGTGCTCTTTTGTCACCAATGGACGCAGGCCAAGACTGAGTCTAAACTCATCATGTTTGCTTTCTTTGCTGCTGCCTACATACATATGCATATATATATACATAATATATATATATATATATATTTACATATATATATATATATGTAGAGACCTGTATGATGATTAGTCAAATCTAGCACTGTATTTTATGACTGTATGTCTATTTATACGATAGTCGTACTTGATTTCCGGCGAACTTTCAGGTTGCCGCAGACTTTCCTCCGGCCATTGGCGGTGTAGGGGCCTTGGATGCCAAGGGCCTTCAACACACGCCATCCCTAACCCTAAACCCTAAACCCTAAACCCTAAACCCTAAACCCTAAACCCTAAACCCTAAACCCCAAACCCCCAACCCGTTCTGGTAAGCTGAGAGGTGGCAGCAGCTGCCGGAGCAGTCTGACCAGCTGAAGCGTGAGAAGCTGGAGCTTGGCCGTGAACTCGGACTGCAGACACCGTAGTAGGATATTATGATTGGGTTTAGGGTTTAGGGTTTAGGGTTTAGGGTTTAGGGTTTAGGGTTTGGGGTTTAGGGTTTCGGGTTTAGGGTTTAGGGTTGAGGGTTTAGGGGTTCAGGGTTTAGAGTTTGGGGTTTGGGGTTGAGGGTTTAGGGGCTTAGGGTTTAGGGTTTGGATGTTCCCCTTATACAAACAGCCCTTAATTGGGATTATAGTCCTTACTAGGGGTTTGAATAGGGGGTTTAGAAGGGCTGTTAAGGAGGAACATCCCAATGTTATTAGACTATATTATCCGGGCTAGTAGTATGATAATAATAAGAGCACGGGGAAAAGGCTATTTATCTTGTACCATTGTTATATTCTAGACTGCTCATGTTACTATTGCTATTCTTTTCTTCTTGTTGTTATTTGTAAAGAAGCCAGCTGCCACCATACAACACCGTGATTCCTCAATGTACTTGTGAGTGCAGCTGCCATGCTTGCTGAAAACTGGCTGGTTCTTCGGAGCTACCCTATATACTCCCTTAAAGGGTATATATAGGGCCCTAATTCCCTCATTCCCTACTAAGAACCAGGGGCAAAAGGCTGGAGGTTGATATGTTGAGCCGGGAGCTCAGGCAATGCCATGTTGCTGTTTCTGAAAGAGGCAGCGCAGCCTGCAGCCCAGAATCGCCACAGCGATCCTTTTGAGGGTACAGGGTTGGGATGTTCCGCCGTTTACTCGCAGTCCTTAATAGGGATTTATAGTACCCTTGTATGGTTATCCCTCTTAAGGACTGCTGGTATAAGGGAGAACATCCCAAGTCCAGTCCACGCCGCTCTTCTTCAAGCTCTAGCACTTTGGGTTTAGGGTTTAGGGCCGAGGCGTTGTCCCAGCGCCCTACTGGAGCCCATGCTTACCAACGCCAGGCTCGGTGGTTGAATCCTCTAGTGCATGGATCACACTCAGCGCATCATCCAGGCACGGCCAGGAAATGACGGGCTTCCTGTTGCGCGGAACTGAGACCCTTCGCTTCGGAGAGCATCCCCAAGCAAGCCCTCAAAACCCCCTTTGCACCCCCAAAGGCCTAAAAACCCTAAACCCTAAACCCTAAACCCCTAAAACGCCCTAAAGCACCCCAAAAGCTATCAAAAGCCATCAAAAGCCCCAACAAGCTCTGGGAAGCCGAGGGTGGGCCTTCAGGACGCGCGTGAGCCGCGAGCTCGTCTGTTGCGGGGGTACGTTAGGGTTTTTTCAGGGTTTCAGGGGGTTTAGGGTTTAGGGTTCAGGGTTTAGGGTTTAGGGTTTCTCCCTAAACCCCCCAAGCCCCCCTAACCCTCCCAAAACCCTCGGATGGCTTGTGAGGCTCAAGGCGGTGTTCTACTCTGCATCGGCTTGGGCAGCCAAAGCCTGAGGCATCCCAACATCGGCAGCGAGTTGTGCTGATTCCTCCGTGGTGGTTTAGGGTTTAGGGTTTGGGGTTTGGGGTTTAGGGTTTGGGGTTTAGGGTTTGGGGTTCAGGGTTGTTTGGGGTTTAGGGTTTAGGGTTTAGGGTTTGGGGTTTGGGGTTTGGGGTTTGGGGTTTGGGGTTTAGGGTTTGGGGTTCAGGGTTGTTTGGGGTGTAGCGTCCTTGGGTTCTGGCATTGAAGCTTCTGAGGCTCTGCTCGATTTGGCTTCGTCTTCTGGGGACGCCTCGGCCGCGGCCCAGGCTGAGAAGCCTTTGTCTTGGATCGTGCGCCCTTGTGAATGCTACAAGGCCATGGTGAACTTGCCCATCGTTTGGCGCCTGGGAGCAGCGGTGTAGAAAGCTGTGCCACTAGCACACCTGTATTGCTGGAAAGCTGCGGGGATGTCAGAGACCTTTCTTGGTAGATGAGGCCCAGCTGCTGCAACGCCTGCTCTGGTCCACGGCGCGTCGCGTCCCAAGCGCGCGAGCAGATGGCTGTTTGGTCTCCTGTGCGCCTGCATTCCTAGGTAGTATATAAAAAGGAGTCCCTTCTTAACCCTCTTCTGGCTCTCTTAACCGGGACCTTATTCAGAGAATCTACATCCCCAAGGGTCCCCCGAATCCTGTCCCCTATGCATCACCACTCACGTTTCTCTTGGGTTTGGGTAGGGTTTGCACAAGGCCTTCGAAGGGACTCAAGGAGGGACCCTTATGGGGACCTTAGGGGTTTAGGGTTATTTGGGGGCTACTTGGGTATAGGGACGAAATAAGATATATATATATATATACATATATATATATAGGGGTTGTCACTGATTGTCACTGCCTCGGGTGCAGGCATGGACTATAACGACATCCAGTCTCAGAAAGTCCTCGGAGAGGTGCGATAATAGATGCAAGAAGCGTGCCAAGTAGTTGCCAACTCGCTCGCTAGCCTTTAGAGTGGCATGATCAGAACATGTAGGTCATGGCTTCTTGTTGTCATGGTTTCTACCGGTGAACAAGCATGGCTAACTCACAGACGGCTGGGTTCCCGCCGTGAACCTGCAGAGAGAGAGAGAGGGAGGAGAAAAAGAAGAAGAAAAAGAAGAAAAAGAAGAATACTACCAATAATCATAAGAAGAAGCTTAAAAAGAAGAAGAAGAATAAGAAGAAGAAGAAGACGGAGAGAGCACGCTGCAAAGTATCCGGTTTGCCTCAGTACTAGTGTGCCGGGCTTCTTTTATTCGAGAACCTTGCGCGAAGCCCTTTGACACGTACTTGGAATGAGACCCGTGTGCGCGCAGGCATCCTCGATCCTGCGGTCGGTGATGAACCCGAGAAACGCAGCACAGGCCAGCAAGTATACCACGAAGTGTTCGCGGGATCTGAGACAAAGACAAAACATAAATGTAATATGAACAAAAGTTTATGTTGTTAGAATGACATAGTACGGAAAGGAAGTAACAATACAAAGATGAGAGCACCGCTTGCATCCATCTATTTCTGTTCTGGCATGCCGACAAACGCATTTGTATGCTTGTCATCCCTAAACCCTAAAGCCTAAACCCTAAACACTAAACCCTAAACCCTAACCCTACACCCTAAAACCTAAACCCCTACGGCGCAGGCGCAGCTGCAACAGACCAAGGATGCCTTCCAGCAAGCATGGTCTCATGCTCAGCCTTTCCTGGCACCAGTAATCCTAGTAATTTATCATGGTATCATAGTAAATAATGGTAATAATAGTAAATAATAGTAATAATAGTAATAATAGTAAGTATAGAAGTAGTAATAATAGTTAAAGTAACTAGTACTCAGTAAAAAATAGTAATTAATAGTAATAAGAGTAATAATAATCGTAATAATATAATAATAGTAATAATAGTAGTAATAATAGTAATAGAATAAGTAATAATAGTAATAATATATATAATAGTAATAATAGTACGTAAATAATAATAGTAATAATAGTAATAATAAAATATAGTAATAGTTAATAATAAAAATGTAATAATAGTAGAGTTATAGTACTAGTAGTATAGTAATAAGAATAGATTAGTAATATAGATCAGCAGTAATCCTAGTATCTTATCATGGTAATCATAGTAATACTGCGTGAGAAGAGTATCGTAGTAAGAATAGAAGAATAGAAATAATAGTAATCATAGTACTCATTAGTAATGATGGTAAGAATAGTCACAAGAATAGGAACAAACAAAGAAAAACGTATTAATAGAATAATCGGCATAGACAATAGTCATAGTAGTAATACTAGTCGTAATAGTCATAAAACGTAATAATAGTCATAATGGCAGAATAGTAACAGTCTAGTAGCTAGCGTCGCAATGGTAATGATAAAAATAAGAAGAATCGGAATACTGTAAAAATAGTAATAGTAGTAATACTAATAGTAGTATTAGTAGTCATAATAATAGTAGTAATAATTGAGTGCAACGGAAGGTTGGAGCTCTGCCCGGCCTGCACACAGAGACCAGCCTGCGGCAGCTTGGTGAGGCACGGGAAGCAAGAAGGTAGGGTTTAGGGTTTAGGTTTAGGGTTTAGGGTTTAGGGTTTAGGGTTTAGGGTTTAGGGGTTTAGGGTTTAGGGAATCAGATGGTGTCCTGCTGGCTGGTTCTTATTAGGAATGGCATGAGGAGCCTTAAAGGGTATTTATTTTATATATATGGTCCGGCGTCTGGCTGTCCGGCCCCCCCCCCCCCCCCCATGGTATGGTCAGGTAGGGGGGGGGGGGGGGGGGGCGACCCTCGCCAAAACCCGTGTTTTGAGTGTTTGGTTCAGGTTGACGGAGCGCGCCCGGGGAAACCCATGTGTGTGAGGCGTTTACCCCCCCCCCCCCTCCCCCTCCAGGTCTACCGTCTCTAACCCCTAACCTGTCAAACCCTAAGCCCTAAAACCCAACCCTAAACCCTAAACCCTAAAACCAAACCCCCAACCACACCACGGGGGGGGGGGGGGGGTTAACCCTAAAACCTTTCAAACCCTAACCCTAACCCCCTAAAAACCTAAACCCTAAAACCCTAAACCCTAACCCAAACCCTAAACCTAAAACCTAAACCAAACCCTAAAACCCCTAAAAACCCTAACCTAACCCCTAAATCCTGACCTAAACCTAAACCCTAACCCTAAAAAAAACCAACCCCAACCACACCACAGGGGGGGGGGGTTCCAGACCATGGGTGGGGGGGGAGGGGGGGGCCGGGAGCACTGGACAATATATATATATATATATATCTATATATTAGGTCCTTAATTCCCTATCCCTATGAGAACCAGGGGCTCGGCCACACCGCAGTCCACAGAGCGATTAGCTTCAGCAACTCGGCAAGGCGATGTGCGAAACTTGCAGGTGTTGTTGCAGGATGCTCCAGTGAAGGACAGGTGCTGGATCCTTGATCTGCAGAGCTATGTGATATTAGAGCGCACCATGCCGACAAGCGCCAATCTTGCAGGATATTCGCACCGCTTTGCAGCAGTGCATGATGCAGTGGCAGCGGGAACGCAGCTGATCGGTTCTCATGCGGTTTGTGGCTGTGCCGCGTGCCAACCACGCCCGCAGCGGCCGACAAGGTACTAGGACGTCTGGGACTGCCTAGACTCGAACCTCCCCCAAAGAAGTGAAGCCTCCGGTTCTAATCTGAGCAATTGTGCCGCTTTGCCCAGGGATTGAATTGAGGTGAATGTGTGGTGGCTGTTAGGATCTCTAGGGCTCTGCTAAATATTGAGGTTAAGCGTTGCAGCTTCACCTTCAGGGTGCATGTTGGCTGAGTGGATAACATTTGCCGTGACCCTCCTCTGCGATTGGCTTTCCGCATTATCCCAAGTCAGCCTTTGCCATGCATTCTGTAGGTTTTCATGACAAGCATATCGACAGAGGCGGCTATACAGTACGTGCTCCTCCACCGACCTGTCTCAGTTGAAAAGGGCACTTGCAGATGCATGTCCAAACCTGAACTCAAAGCAAACCCTGAATCCATCTTTGGCGGCTTCCCCTCTAAACTCTCCCGTGCAAGAGTGGTTTGGAGCCCCAAACTTAAAAACCGAGGAGACGGGCCCCAAAGAAGTGGAAGTCTTGGGGGAAGTTTGGGCCCAGGCTTCAGGTTAGGGTTAGGGTTGGAGGGTGGAGGGTTCGGGGGCGAGAGACCGGGGGGGGAGTGGGAGCCGCAAAGCTCTTTGCTCTCTAACCTTGTTGTTAGCATGGCATGAGGGATTTTGGTATCATTTATCATTCCTGAAGTATGCTCCAAGGGATTATGTAGGGACCCTACTTCCCTCATTCCATACCAAGAAAGATTGAGCTTACCCGAGGGATCCCCAGAAGTTCGTGCCCCCAAGGTGAATACAGAAAGGGCGCAAGTAGTCAGTAGCCCTAAACCCTAAAACCCCAACCCCTAACACCTTAAACCCTAAAAACCCTAAACCCCTAAAACCCTAAAACCCCTAAACCCCTAAACGCCTAAACCCTAAGCCCCGAAGCCCCTGGTCGTAGTTTTCCGGTCGCTTGGACACTGAGCGCTCCGCGCATCTTTTGGATCCAGGCATTTGCCTTGCTGTGGATCGGCTGTCTCACCTTGGTGACCAGCACGCCATGGGGTGGGCCTTTGTGCCGTGGCTTCTGCTCATCGCCCGTGTGGCTTGCATCGACAACCGGAAGGCTCGGGCAGAGAGTACCGCGTATCTGTTTTTGACAGCCGGAGTGGTGAGTTAAGAACCGTGGGAGCAGTCAGGTTACTAGTAAGAATCGCAAGAGTAGTAAGAGTAGAAGTCGTAATAGTCAGAATGGCCATGATAGTCAGAATAGTCATTGTCAGAGTAGTCATAGTCGTCGTAACCGTCATAATCGTCAGAATCGTCATAATCGTCCATAGTGGCATAATAGTAATACATGGCACATATAGTCAGAAGCATAATTACAGTAAGAAGAGAGTCAGACTTGTATCAATAGTATACTACCTAGAATAGCAATCACAGATTGCATGTGCACAAGCTGCAGCCTGAAACTGCAGGATGCTCAGATGACGCCTGGAACTTCGCGTTCTTCCAAAAGTTAACTTGTGCTACGCTGGCCGCGCCGGCGTCACCTGCACAGGCCCACGTATCCCACGTGGCTCAACTCAGATCAAATTTTGTCCTCATTGCTCTTCTCTTGCTGCCCGCCCTGCAGGTATCGCCACTTTTGGATGTCTACCGCGTGTGCCAGCCATGCTGCGTGACCACGACGACCACGACCACAGACTGTGACAGTAAAACTGTCCCAGCATGACGCACACAGAAACAAGTACTAGCATTTCCAACACATCACGATGACACATACATCGACTGAGACCACGGTGACTGCCACAGCAAGCCAAACCTCGACGCAGACAGCAACGACAGGACGGAGACGGAGACCGTGACGGAGACGGCAACGTCCACGAGCGTACTCGCCACAACCGAAGACCCGTGACCACGAAAAGCCTAGCACAACGCCAGAGATTGAGCCGGCATCAGTTGTCAGGCCATCTCAAGAACACACTGTAGTCTGGTTTTCCTGCATCATGGTAGTTGCAAGCACTGTTGGGAGCTACCGTCCGTGTTGTCGTCAACGAGGTCGAGAAGTACTTGGACTACACAACGGACTCTAGAGTCATTGATGCCTACAAAGACGCCATGGTTGATGTTTCCGGCCTGGGGCAGCAGTGGATTGTGAGGATCTCAGCTAGAGCCACGCAGAGGTAGAGCGTGTTGTGCAGGAACTACAGAATGCCACCTGCCTCGCACAAAGGCTTTGCAGATGCTGCTGGAGGGTGGCGGGAACATCACAGTGAGCTACATTCTGACAGTCCCGTATATAGAGGGAGCAGGTGGTGAGCTGGTGCCGATCGTGCCCCTGGCGGATGTGGAGCCCTCAGATGGAGAACGGTTCTTCTACATTGGGGTCGCCTGTGAAGGAGCTTGTAAACGAAAGCCCCAAACCCTAAACCCCACCAACGGCAAAGGAGCTCCCCCCAGAAGAGGGATCTTAAATCTTAAAAATGAGCCCGCGGCCCCGGTGTGACCTCGCGCCTGAGAGCCTTGAGTTCAGCCTTGGGGCCTCTGAGGTGCAGGCGAAGTTGGATGAGGTCACCCCAAAGAGTTTCAACGCCATGTTGGACAAGGAAGTTGCCATGGCCACCGGCGCCGGGACATACTCTCAGAAGGTGCGGGCAGCCAGGGAAGCCCTGGGAAGTTCTTGGTAACTTAAACTTAAAGTCCTCTTATAGGAAGGGTTCAAGATTGGACAATAACATAGCAGCCCGGTTGTGGTAGCTCAATTCAAGGCCCTTGGCAAGAGCCCAGCACATCGGCGCATCCTTGTGGTTCAACTCACTTGCAGGTCGTGACCTTCGAGCAAGACATATCCACAACCGCGGAAGGAGGTGGCAGCGTAAGCGGCGCCCACTTGGTCTCGTTGATGCCTGGCTGAATGGCCAGGGGCCTCGCGGCTTGCGTGACCGAACCCCATGCTGCGAGTGTGTTGAGTGGATTCCGGAAGATTCTGTATCCAATTGTATCCAAGGGCAAGTACCATACTGGTTCTTGTGGCCTGACCCTCAGTCTTGCTGTGGCATGGTGCATGCTTGCTTTCAGAACCGATGTGATGTCGCAGGCTCCCATTGTCGGCATCTGATCCTTCAAAGCTGCCGGCGCTCGCAAGCAAATCATGCCACAGCGCATGAGCAGCGCATAGGAGGGCACATGACACACCGGCGCTGCTTTTGTTTGACACGGGCGCACCCCTTTGACGTGCCTTGCCCAGCTGCCTTAGTGCACCTGAGGCCAAAGAGTAGTCGTAAAGGCCATTCTGCCCTCTTACACATTTACCGGAGGGCTTGCTTGGACTGAAAACCAGCAGAGCACCAGTATGGCTCACACAGATGCCCTTGACTAGTGAGCGGTCAAGAGCACGACGCCTTCTCCTGTATAATTTGCGTGCATTCCTTTTTCCATGCAGGAATATTGTAGCTTCGGCGCTCACACGCGGTCATGCTAGGTCATAACATACAACAACGGTAAGGCGGCCCAGCGTCTAGCGCTGAGCCGGAGACACGTATATCGCTTAGAGACTCAAGCCTCCAAGGAACAAAAGGGCGAACTGCAGCTGGATGTGTGAGAAAGTGCGGAAGGGTGTAATCAAAACCCGCCATTTCGAAGCCCTCTAATGTAACAACATACCAAAAATATTATAACAATATAAGGAATATGATAAACATAGAGTATAGTACTTCTCATTCGATCCGAAATTGGCTTTTGTTAAGGCTTGCTCCGGACCACGCTGGGCCTCGCTTCGTTCGTTCATTGCCGTGCCAGAGTTTCCTTTCGTTGCTCCTCAGCATTTTGCGACCAAGTCCGAACTCAAGAGCTCATGTCCCTCGGAAGAGCAACACGTACATAGAGCAGAGAGCCAATGTTGCAAGGTATGTTCTGCTAGCTACTGGGGAGTGGCAATTGCACTGCTGCACTAGTAAACCCTAAGCCCTAAACCCTAAGCCCTCAACCCTAAACCCTAAACCCGAAACCCTAAACCCTAAACCCGAAACCCTAAACCCTAAACCCTAAACCCTAAGCCCTTGACTCCCAGATGGAGGTCTGCACTGGACCATCTGAGCATGGCAGCCTTTGCCTCGGGCAAGCTCACCGGCACCCATGACTCATCCGTACCGGGCTCAGACGATAATATTAATTCTCATATTATTATTATCATTATTATTATTACTTTTTTAAAAATATTAACAATACTAATAATCTTATTAATGTTAATAACATGAACAATGTTAAGAATATGACGCGCCGGAGATCCACAGAGTGGCCCTTGCAACTCCCAGCTCCAGGAAAGATCGCACGCAGGAGCCGCGACAGGAGGCGCGCCTGGGGATCAGGATGCCAGGAAGCGACTTCGATGCTTAAAGTAGCTGAGTAGGTAACCTTTTTTTGGGGTACATAGAATCCTACCAGAATGGAAAGGTTCACTTTTTTTGGCCCCAGGGTACTCAGCAACTAGGGATGGTGTCGGTGCTATCTGGGATAGGTCTTGGGGGGGATGCCCTCCTCTGGGCTTTTAAGGGCATTGCATGGGATCCCGGAGATCGTGGAGTCGCCTATGAGGCTCTGCCAGGGGGCAACCGTAAAGGCAGCAAAGGGAGAAGATTCGTAGCTTTCATTCTCAACATAAAGCCTCAAATTTTGCAGCATTACCAGGAGGAGGAGGCGGAGGAGGGCAGGGGGGTGGCGGACTTGTGCACGCTGTGCTTTGTTGAGAACTGGTGGGAATGCTTGTCAAACCCTAATCCAGGCCCGGCGCCCCAAATCTCAAGAACTCGCTGTGAGTTTGGTGTCAGAGGGGGTGTTTCCCCAA